TATTTTTCATAAAAAATAAAAAGCTGCAATAAAAATGGTTAATATTATATGGATACGGAGTTTAATGTATTTATATCGGTTCCAAATGCTATAGGACTAGGCCCAATTATGCTTCGTATTTTGGTTGTTATAAGCGTTTTAACTAGTTATTATTCGTTTGGAGCTTTATAAGCCTTCAAAAGGAACGCAAAAAATGTAGATGTATGCAAATGCTTTTCTTTCGCTCTATTTCTATTAATACATATTTTTTCTTAAAGTTGTTTTTGCATAAACAAAATTGATTTTAAAACTCAATTAATCGACATGAACTCAAAACAAAAAGCAAAACAAAATGAACAACAATTTTTGTTTTAAGACCTCAAATTCTTAAATAGAATTTTAAAAAGTTTCAACTAAACTTGCAATTTTCACAGCAATAAAAATTTCTACAAGTATGTGTGCATGTCATATACTAAGTATACATTTTTTTTTTGTAAAAATTTTCCATCCATTATCACATCGTTAGCTTTCTTTCAAAACGTTTATTCCATTTGATATGGTATATAGAAGACAAGAAATAAAATTAAAAGTAGGAAAGAAATTAAAAAAGTAAAAAGAAAAAAACAAAATAAACCCTAAGAAAGTTTTTAATTAGAATTTCTCAACTTTTTCCTATCAGTTGCAGAGAGAACCATACTTTGCAACCTTGTTTATAAAAAAAAAAACAAAAAAGAAACAAGGAGAATGCGTCTATTAACGTCGTTTAAGTTGAGAAGAATTATTTTGTGTGTATGTTGTAAATTGCTATATATCTATAGAGTATCTGTGTGTCATGGCGTTTCTGTATAAAACTTCATAATGTATAAATTTACACTCTTTTAATTTGTCTACTGTTATTATATCTTTTCTTTTTTAGAACAAATTTCAAAGGCATTTTAATATTCCAATTCATAGAAGAATCTCATTGTTCTCCTCGTATTCTCCTCAGTCTTGACATAGTGTTATGTATATAGTATTTATGTGAATGGTTGTATGCACTTATATGAAAATAACACAACCATAACTATGTACAATGGTAAATTTTAATTGCGTAACAATAATGTAATAATATTACACAATTCTGTTATATAAATTTTACAAATCTATTTCTTTTTAGATATAATGAGAAAGTTATTAATGTTGATAATAAATAGACCCAAAATTAGTGTTACGTATTAGTGTATAGATTAAGATTTTTAATTTGTGAGGAGAGAAATTAATTAACTGTGCGAATTTGGTATGTGTATGTATATGTACATTATGTGTATATAAGCATATTTTGGCGTATAATACAGAACGCGAAGTAATATAAAAGGCTTGCTGTATAATTTTCAAAATCATGTAATTGATAGATATTGGTCTTATTGTATTTTTTTTTTCATTTATGAATTTAAAAATTGGGTATAATTTTGAATAAAACTAATATTTAATTTGTAATCAATTAACAAAATTTTAAACTTGTTGTATTTGCTCAAACCGTTTCAAGCCATGGATTTCTAATTAATTCAAAGCATAAAATATAATATTTGGGAAATGGGACCTTGTTCTAAAGCCCAAATACGATTTTCTTTTAAAATTTAATATTACATCAATTATTTTAAATTTGAGGTAAAAATTACCATTTTCATATATGCAGAACATAATATATTACACCATAAATATGTCATGCTACTTGAAAAATTTTTTTCAGAATTCAAAATTGAAATGGGATAATTTATAAAACCTATGTATGACATAATCAGCTACCAATCTCAGTCTGAACCAAATAAGATTTGTTGAATAAAATTTATGTCACCTTTCAAAATTTTACATCAAATTGTAAAATTCAAAGTTGTATTTTGAAGACCATAGTTAAATAAATCTCATAATGGAGTTCTTGCCTCACAATATACTAAGTTTGTATAATGTGTGAAAGTTACTGGTTAAATAATTACTATTTAGAATACATCTTATATTATTTGTGGTGAAACTTAAGATGTTCCGCTAATATGAAAATAAAATTAATTCATATCAGGGCATATGGACATAATATCAAACGAAATACAAACTCTTGAAAGCTCTATAATTATGTTTAGAATTAGAATCGACATTAAAAATTATTGCAATCACAAAGTGTGATTATTTCCAACCATTCAAGCTCATCAAACTCTATCAGAAATTTAAATTCTTTGGGCCCCACTTAATATCTTATTTATCTGTCGTATTAAGTGTGACATTGAGATGAAGTTGAATATAAATTGAATAATGTTCGTAATACGAAACTCTCAATCGAGAAGAATGGTCTACGAATAATGGATATCATATTTTTTCAAGAAATGTTAGTCAAAATCTTTAAAAAATTTACATTAAATTAGCAGGATATCTATAATTACTATGATTAAAAAAATTTCCTGTATTAAAATTCATCACATAATTTTTCATATAGTTATTAAAATTGCACAATGCATGATTGTTTTATAATTTATTTCTAAAATTTAAAAAATTATTTAAAATTTTTCCATTTATATTCGAAATAAATTGCTTTGTCGTACTCACCACCACAATTATTGAATCCTTTTAATAATAAATGTTTATTAATCTTAAATATTACCAAGAATAATCATAAATTTCAGTTCATATGAACGAATTTACTTAAATATATGGTCAGACTTTATAAGAATATAGATTAAGGACATTGCAATAATAATAAATTTTGGATTGTTTTTTACGGAATTTTTATAAAAATGTACAATTTAGGTTTTTCATTTTTTGGGCTTCTTTATAATTATAATAATAAATAATATAAACGGTATTTTTATTTATTTGTTGTTTAATTTTTTATATTTTGTTTTATTTGCCTTTATTATCTTTGTTCTTCTTCTTTATGTTGTTTTGTTTTGTTTCCCTCAAAACAAAAGTGATTTTCACATTATTTACTTCTGGCATATATCAATGTTAAATTAGAGAGAAAAAGTATGTGTGTGTGGGAACAAAAAATTAAATAAAAAAAAGCATACCTTCATATATCCTTTATTTTAAGAATTCTTTTATTACTATAATTTTTCATTTGATCCTTTTTCTTTCACTTTTTTTTATTATTATTATTTTTCTGCTCCTGGATAATATTTTTTATTTTCGTCCTTATAATTTTCTTTTTTTGTATTTTACGTAAATTGTTTCAATTCTTTTAGAATGAAATCTAGTTGAAAAAAAAAGAAAATAAAATGGTTTCCGAAATTCATATACACCATTCCGTAATGCGAATACGAAATTTTTTTTGTAACTGAATAAGAACGGCAAGCGAAGCGGCACACATGTGTGCATATATGAAATTCATATATGTACGTAAGGCAAGGACGGAACAATTTATGAGTTCTTCGTTTAAACCATTTGACCGTCATTTATTTATATTTACAGTTTGTTTAGTCTTTGTTTTTAAATCATATGTTATTTAACTGTAATTTTTGTTATTTTGTTTTTGTTGAGTATTTTTTATTTCTCTTTTCTTGCTTTGTTCTATTTTTTGTTTTCCCTATTTTTCACCTTTTCTACTTAGAGAGAAATGTGTTTGTGTATGCATGAATTAAATTTTTTTTTATTTACAGTTTATTCTTATATTTTTATTTTCTAACTGTTTTTTTTTCGCCATTTTTTTTTTCTATACACAGTTTTTGTTTTTATTTTTAATATTGTTTTTTTTTGTGTCTATTTTTTTTTTGATTTAAACCAAAAAACATACCGAACTTTAGTGGCCACACTAACACCACGAATCTTTGGTATACCGTTACCCACTATATATATACACATGGTCACATACAATTGTATATACATATGTACATACATACATAGAACATTATGTAAATATGTATATGTATCACTATTTCTATACAAATTGTGTGTTTATATACATAGACAAAAAAAAAACAAAAAAAAAAATTCGTTGTCATCCTTTAGTTGGTCAAATTAGACATGAAAACGCTAGACAAAATAGGAAAAATAAAATAAACAAAAACAAAAATAAAGACACAAAACTAACAAACTTGTTTTTTGTAAAAAGCGTTTTCAAATCATTGAATATACCAAAATAGTAAAAATAAAAGCAAAAACACAAAAAACTGAACTTTTATTTCGCTCCAATTTCTAATGACTTTTTGTGTTTGGCATAAGACCAAAAACTTTTCTAGTTATATGAAATTTTTTTGAAATATTAGAGTTAAAGAGTTGAATGGACTTTTATTTTACGGAAAAAAACAATTAATAATTTTTTTTCAGATTGGTTTTTTCTGTTTTTCGCTTAATATTCGTTTTATGATTTCAGGTTTATAATAAACAAGTCAATTAAAATCAATTGGTTTTATTCAGAAATTAGCTAGGTGCGGGAGCTATTGCCTTTAACTTACTTTTTCAAACCTTGCACCCCGAAAACCGATTTTCAAATCTTATATGACATCTTTTCATAAAAAATTGAGAGTTCATTCGTGAGTCGTTAACCATTCTTTACATTTCTGTTTATTTGCACAGTTTCTATTGTTACAAAGAACATAGAAAACAATTCACAGCAAAAGATGAAAACGAAACAGTCGCCGAAATGGAACGCAAAAATAAAATAATATCAAGAGAATTATTATAAACCATAGTTGGAATTTTAAAAATTGTCTATGGGTATTATTTAGAGTAAAGTTGATTGATTCATTAAGTCATTATTAATCCAAAAACATGATTTTTAATTTAAATATGTGTGAACTGAATAATATTGTGGCTATGACTCTGAAATATTAAAAGCGCACATACCATGATTCTGGATTTGTGCATTAATTGTTAAGTTGTTCCTTTGTTCGAAAGAGAAAGTGCATTTTCATATTCTGAAAAAATTCGGGAACTTCACGAAAACTAAATGTCAAGCGTCTATTTTATATAATAAATTACAATAAAATAAATTTTTTATGCAATATAATACTAAAATTTTTCTAACGAACCTTTTCATTATTCGTTTTTAATTTAAGGTAAAAGTTTTACATTAACTATTGTAATTTCAACGACACCAATACAAATAGCAATGTACACCAAAGCTATAAAGGTTACTGTTGATGGACCAAGAGAGCCTAGATCAAAAGTTCGACATCAAGGTTTTCATCCATTTGCATTTGGACCTCAAAGATTTGGTCCAGATCCTTTGATAAGTGGATTACCATTTAAATTACCAGGTAATTTTTTGAAATTTGTTAAATCTACATTAAAAAGTATTTTTCTTATAAAGGAAAAATTAAACTAATGATTTATGTAGTCTAATAATCTTTATTTTATGGTGTAAGAGACTGACAAAATGTTGTAAATATTTGAACATTAGAAATAAATGTTTTCAAAAAGTTTCATTGCATTTTAAAGAAATTTTTCTGTTAAATAAACTGATTATTTCTCAATTTTGCATTACCAACTAAAATATTCTTAGAAAACGCGTTTAAGTTGATTTAATTAACTTGGGCAGTAAAACTATGAATTAAAGAATCACATTTAATTTGAAAAAATATTAACTAAAGCTGAAGACATTAATGCCATATTGAGAGCTAAAAATATTAGCCTAAAAAATAGAAAATCATCTTAAGTTAAAGACTTTTCAAGCATGACTTTAACTGAATATTTAAAATTGATTTACTTGAAACAACTAAACAGAAACAGAACGAATGTATTAGTTAAAGGAATATACCAGTTGTGTCAAACAATCAAAACTTTGAGTTAATTTTTCGGATTGAGGAGTAGCTCAACGAAAAACAGCTTGAGTAAATCTCAATTTCAATTTCAAAAGGTAATTTCAATCTCAATTTTTAATAACTGCATTAGAAGAAAATTTATGTTTGATTAGGTATTTTTAACGTCGGGCATAAATTAACTGCCAATTTCATGTTCTACAAAATTACGAGTATAAAATTTACATAATGTAACAAATTAATTATTTGCATAAGGACATTTTTCCAATATATATACAAAAAATGGTAAATTTATAATACTAATTCAATTTATTTGAAAAACAACTTAAAAACAAACGAAAATACAATAGAAATATTAACAAAATTTGAAAATTGAATTCCACCCACGTAACATCAATCACAGCGCGCTATGATTATACTCACATGAAATCAATTAAAAACAAATTTTCCACTCTAGTAACATGAATTTTTAATTTATACTCGTATCCTTAAAAAAAAAAAACAATTATAATGTACGACCTTATCAACCAACACCTTTTACATGATTAATATTTACAATAACTGTTCGAAAGAAAAGTGTATTATGATTGTATTAGAAAAGAATGTCTTTAAGAATTTTTAAAGAAGTCACGTGCCATTAAATTGTTATGAAACACATATTACGCATCCGTGATCACACTTACGATAAAAATTGTAAAATATTTAAACATATCGTTTAAAATTCATATAGGTAAATTATTTTTTTTTTTTTTCAATAAAGTTATTTAAAAGAGAAAACCTGTTACACATGTTTAAGGTTAAACCATGGAATTTATTGTAGATAGACGTATATGTATATGTCCTAGGTACATTAAATTTTATAAAATTGTTATGTGGGACAATCACGTTTTCGAACGTGTGTGATATGTGCAAGTATTAAATATTAATTTCCACATTTTTGTATTAGCAGGACATCAGCTCCCGTTACTCAATTTAGTCAAATTTAATTGAGAATGTGGAATATAATGACTTAATGCCTCATTTAATTAGACTTGCGAATAATACGGATGAGTGTTAGAGCCATTTTTTTACGCACAAATGTTTGAGATATTTTTTGACTATGAGTTGTAAATTGAATGCTTTTTGAATATATTTATGTCTATCAATTCTAACGTATAGTTAAATATATTGCGGTATGTTAAATCTGTTATGTCATAATATATTTTGAAATTGAGTTCGAAAATTCTGTAATACAGGAGTACACTACGGAAATTTGTCCGTAAGTCGAAATTTAATATGCGTATTGTTGCACTTTGAGACTCAAGATTCTTACATGAAAACCACTAGAATTAAGAACTAGAATTAAGGGTCCCTGAACACGTATTAAATTCCTTTTAATAGCATTAAATAATTATACATTAGCTGCAGATTTTACATCGATAAAATGACAAAGTATGAAAGTAGACTTGAAAATATGAAATATAATTTACCGAATATTAAATAATGTTCAATTGTATGTAATTTAGTAAATTTGAATTAAGACTGTTTCTTGTATTGCAAGTAGAAACCTACATTTTTTATATAAATTGCGAAAAATCGAGTTACAATCGAATAACCAAAAATTTTGTATTTAGTCTCAAATGAAAACAGGATTGTCCATTTAAGCAATGAGATTTTATTTACAAAATTAAAAATCTAATTTTCTATTGCTTTATAAATCTACCAATATTTTGTGAATAGAATTTCTTCTATTCATAAATAAAGTAAGTTACAACAAAAACAAAAACTGGAAATAAAACTAACATGATTTTCTTTCCGCCTAACTTGATTATAAGTACACAGTTATGAAGCTAGTTATAACAGTTTCTATGGTGCAAAAAACAATTTTTTTTTTATAAACTCCCATATTGTGTACATTTACACATTCTAGCTGTGTATGAAATTTTATTTATGAAAGGAATCCCAAGTGTTACAAACGATGACAACAGAATTTACTACGATAATTTAAAGGATACGCAACATAATTTTATTTTATGTTCTTTTAAATTTGTTTTTCCTTATTTCGTTCTCTTTTTTATTATAAATATAGTCCTATTGTTGCTTCACTTGCAGTGCCAGGCATCAAAAATTGAATAACCAAAAAAAAAAAAATTCTCTGAATTATTTTTTGAAACGATAGATTTATCTAAGAAGAACAAATAAGGGGTAAAAATTACTTTTTTAGTTTTTTTTTCGTTTTCATTTTCATTTTCGTTTTTGATACATAATTCAGTTAGCAAATTTTCCGCCAAAGTTACCGTTTTGTTATTGAACTGTAAAAAGAAAACAAAAACATTATAAAAACTGAAAAATAACCTATATACAAAGGTAGAGGCATTTTCATACTTTCTAACATACGCAATAAATTGAGTTTTTCGTTTTGTTTTGTTATTTTGTATGTGTTTGTTATGGAGAAATCGCATTTATTGACATGAAAATTGACATGAAATTGAATCAATATAATCATTCCCGTGGGGATTTAAGGCTTTAATATAACAAGAAATTTTACATGTGTAACATGTTGTATCTCATTTATAGTGTATATTTACACAAACATTTGTATTTGCAGATTCGTACATTAATAAGGAGTTTATATATGAATTTTATATCGGAACATAATTTTATGACAAAATTATTTTAATTGATTGATTGCAATACAAAATTAATTTCTGATTTATAATGTGGAATTTTAGCTTAAACTAAAATGTGTGCAAATAAAATTTTATCTAAAGAAAAATTTACTTTCCACAACTAGCAGGAATTATTAAACATGACCCATTGTTAATAGAACTGTAAATAACGAATTAATAAACTACATGTCTAAATGTTCAAAACTTATAGAATTTAGTGCCGCGTGAAATTTTAAAAACACATCTTATATTTCCATCACATCTTATATTTTTGGGGCCTAAATAACAGCAGAAATACATTTTATGAAATAAAAGTTCCAAAGCATATTCCACTTATTATGCAATAGTGGCTGACACCCGAGAAAGAAATTTTTTTTTTGTATGTTTCATCTACTATATGAAATTTATGTTGCAAGTACATAATATTCAATAATTAGTTATTAAACTCGTAACATATTTAAATTATATTACTGCCTGGGTAAATTGCTATAGCACTCAAATATATTGTGACATTTTTAAATGCAGGCAGACTCGTTAATTGATTTCAAATATATATGAAAAACATTGTGTAGCATAGTATTATAGGAACTATATAACTAGTATAGGAAATAAATCAAGTTTAATATTCTGAGCCAATTTTTCAAAATAACTCTAGCAAATTTTTGAAACTAAGTGAGTTAAACATATGAAGTTTTGACCCAATTTGAGATTTCAACAAACTTTAGAGCAACTTAGTTGAACCCAAGAAGTTGTTGCTTGTATCTTCAAAATCTCATTCCTAATTTTCAGGAACTCACTTAAAAATTTAATTTTCCAAACATAGTTTTTTAATGACAACTGACCGTCTACTACTTGATGATAATTCTTTTGCGGAATCTTCAAATGTGCGTATATGATTTGAGCCATATACTATTAAAACCTTAGAGACGACGGGAATAATAGAAATATATCCTAAAGAATTTGATTCGAACAATTTAAAAAGACAATTTAAAAAAAAAAAAAACAAAAATGTTGCAAAAGTTTATTTTTTTTTAAATTATTTATTGAATTTATCAATTGCTGCGTATAATTGTGTCTGCACACGTAGTCATGTACGAACCAAGGTGAAAATTTCCTGTTATGCTACTCAATTTAATATTTACTATTGATTGATACGATATTATGAATTTAATAATATTTATACAAGCTATTTTATCAATGCACATACGTTTAAACACGTAATAATGTATAGATATATATAGATATAGAATATCTATATATACCGAATATATATAGATATATTCGGTATAATATGAATTGCATATTTTGGTGGCCGGAGATTTGAGTTATACGACATACATTATTATTATGATGAAGGGTAAAGAATAAAGTGTGTACATATATAATACTCATACAATAATATAAATAGCTATGCGTTCTATATGTGAGAATAGCGAGGAAGGTGGAAAAAATACATAGAAACTTTGCAATTATTTATTGTGAATATTTTGAAGTGAAAAACGAATATTCGAAATATGTTTTGCTTTAAATTATGTTCAAAAAATTTATGATGTTATATTTTAATGTTAAAATATTTTATATTATATTTTCAAAATATATATATACAATAGCAGCATTATATTATTTCTTATGTTGAATAAGAGAAATTTTATGTGTATGGATAGGGTCGCGTATATTAAAAATTGTACATGAATCGCATTTTAGTTAATAAAATGTCTATTATTTTTAAGTGATGTATCATAATTTTGAAAATGTAGACGCGAAATAAATTATGAATATTGAAGGTGATGGTGGGAAAAAGGATTTTGGTATAATAATAAAATGTTGGTTAATTTGTTTTTTTTTTTGCTG